ATGTGAAACAATGCCAAATTGCTGATAAAGCAAAGAAGATCATTGTCACCTGAAATATTGAAATATACGAATGATTTCGCACGACAAAAGATAGAATGATAATGATTTTGATAAGATAAAGATATGAAATAATCAAGCATTACTTACACTATGGGATCACCTAGTATACTATATGTAGCGTAAAAAAAATGTTAAGTATTAACATTCTAACAACCTGCTAATTGTTGATCAAATAAAGTGAAAAATATTGGCTAACATTAGCATTCTAATAATTTGCTAACCTTTGACCAAATTAGTGTGAAAAAATATTGGCTAACATTAACATTCTAATAATTTGCTAACCTTTGACCAAATTAGCGTAAAAAATATTGGCTAGCATTAACATTCTGATAATTTCCTAATCTTTGATTCTATCTTAATTTAGTAATTTGTAGGTAAGTATGTTTCTTTTGATACTTTTTTCAAACTTAGAATATGACATTAATTCTGGAAGGAAAAATGGACAGATTTCATTGATCATTAGGACCTCGCAACGAACTTTGCATAATGAAAAGAGTGGAAAGCGTATTTTGCCATCTGAATAAATTGTCGTTTTGAATCCTTTAGTGAGAAATGAATGTAAAGGATAGGTGATAGCATGTAGAAGTTTGAGATGAAATATTCCCATTATTATAATCATCCATAAATAGCTTCCAATTCTCCATTTGAAAAGTGAATTCTGAATCTTTAAATTTTAAACATATACATTTCCATTTCAATAATTATTACTTTTAAATGATTTATAAATTTTCATCAAATAATTCGATAATATACGAATAGCATTTATTATTGATTAGCAATGAAAATATTGATGAAATACTACCAGTAAAATTTGCATCCATTTTAAGATGTCATCAAGAGTAATACTACGACATTGCGCAATTTGACGCGCAATTCGCATCCAACCGACCTTTTCCTCCGGCATAACCACTCAAAAATAAATTTCCTGAAGCATTGGGTAAATTATACATCTATCAATTTAATTTTACATATATATATATATATGCATATATTTTTGGTAATAATCATAAAGTAATCAATATTTGCAGGAACGATTGAACAATAAAATGAATTAAATTTTGTAATAAAAAAAAAAAATTAACAGTGATAAAATTGATAAAAGAGATTAATTGTTGATAAGATGATATTATATGGAATTAGATATTTGAAGCATTAAAATATGCTATTGTTCATTTAAATAGTTGCAAATTTTGGAACAAAAATAAATGAAATATTTCTCTTCCGGAAATTATCTCAAATTCATTACAATTCAATGAGCTTAGCTTACCTTCAAAGATTTCTCGTAAAATTGTCACCACATTGTATAGCTAAAAGTAAATTTGTAGAAAATGTCAGAAAAAATTTAGCCTAAAGAAATGTCTAGGCTAGATAGGCATTGCAGCTTTTGGCTTTTAGCATTTGATGGCAACAAAAATCGATGCATTGCAAGGTGAATTCAACAGAGAATAAAATGTTGTTCAAATGTCATTTCTCGATATGTAAAAGTAACATTTGGGAAATTGGTAGCTTCGCAGTAATTTACTGTTTTAATTAGTAAAATCATTTGAAATAGTTGTTAAGCATTCTTTATCACACCGTTCAATTTGGTCAAGTCATTATCTTGATTTTTTTGACTTTTGACCTTTGATGTAAAAAATAGTAATGATGTCAGGAAAAGAAATCAGGAATTACGTCAAATAAAAACATAAATCAACTTTAAAGTGAATCGATTTTGATCCCTTTGAAAAAATAAATCGATTCATATAAGTGATCAAAAATGAATAATGATGGGAATAAATCCAGAAAGGTCAACTTTACAAAGATATTATTCCGGAATGAAGATTAATCCTGACAATCTAATCAATACGAATAGCTTGAATCGAATGAATTTCCCATTTAGAATTGAAAATTTTTCATGAAAACCCATTTTACACCACTGTTACAAAAAGAAAAGGAATAATGCAGTGAATTGAATGACCGGGAGAAAAGAAATAATGCACTGGATTGAACCGGAAGGAAAGGAATAGTGACTGGATTGAATAACCGGAAGAAAAGGAATAATGCACTGAATTGAATAACCGATGAATGTGAACTTGATTTTTCTGGATTATTTTATCACTATTTCATTTTTGATCATTTATAAATTTGATTTACTTTTTTCAAAGTGACCAAAATCAATTCGCTTAAAATTTGGTCACTTTTTAATATAACTATAAAAAGTGGATCATTCTTTTTTTTTTTTTTTT